AATTTTCTTAATAGCTGAACAACCAAATAGGTAAAGTAAAAAAAAAAGTTAAGAAATCACAACAATCGGATGATCGAACTAATGAGAAAAAACAGTTAGAAAATCGCAACAATCAGATTGATCGAACGAATGAGATAAAACGATTAAGAAACTGCAACAATTGAATGACCGAACAAGTAAAATAAAAACGGTTTTATAACCGCAACAGTCCAATGACTGAACAAATAAAGTAAAAACGATTTTATAACCACAATGGTCGAATGACTAAACAAGCAAAGTAAAAATGGTTTTATAACCACAACGGTCAAATGACTGAACAAATAAAATAAAAACAGTTTTATAACCGCAACAGTCCAATGACCGAACAACTAAAGTAAAAACGGTGAAAAGAGAGTTTTATAAATGCAACGGTCGAATGACCGAACAAAAAAGTAAAAATGGTTTTAAACCGCAATGGTCGAATGACCGAACAAGTAAAGTAAAAACGGTTTTATAATCACAATGGTTGAATAACCAAACAAGTAAAGTAAAGACGGTTTTATAACCACAATGGTTAAATGATAGAACAAGTAAAGTGAAAACGGTTTTATAACCACATGTTGAGTAGCAACGGTTCTATAACCGAGCTAGTTGAGTAGAAACAATTTTATAACTTAGCAAAAAACTGTTTTATAACTGAGTAAATTGAGTTGCAAAAGTTAAACGACCGAGCAAATTGAGTAGCAACAATTGTATAACCAAGCTAGTTGAGTGGAAATGGTTTTATAACCAAGTAAGAAACAGTCTTATAACTGAACAAGAAACGGTTTTATAATTGAGTAAGTTGAGTTGCAACAGTCAAATGACTAAGCAAGTTGAGTTGCCATAGTCAAATGACCAAGCCGGTCGAGTGGCAATGGTTATATAACAAAGCTAGTTGAGCAGAAATGGTTTTATAACCGAGCAAAAAATAGTTTTATAACTGAGCAAGAACTTGTTTTATAACCGTAACGGTCGAATGATCAAACAAGTTGATCTTAAATGAGTTGATTTTGAATGAATTGATCTTAAACAGTTTTATAACCATAACAGTCAAATGACCGAGTAAGTCGAGTGGCAACGAGGCCAAATGAGGGTAAACATGACCAAGGGGATGGATGAAGGTAACGTTTGAAAGATTTGTAACAATGAAACAAATGTAAGTGAGACAACTTTCACATAAAAGATAATGTAAAAATGAAGAAAGGTTAAGAAACTTCCTTGAACATATGGTGGATGCCCATGCTCTGCAAGAGTCAAATATTCTGTGTTGTGTGCTTAACAATCTTGTGATCATTTTTGTGTAGTAGCTTGATAGATTCATATTCATGCATATCCTGTTGAGTGTAAGAGGTAGACTCCCCTTTGTTTTCGATGAGGATATATTTGAAAATATTGCCCTAATAAGCTGAACTTTCATTTGTTATTGGAGCTTCAGCTAGCATGGATGACTCCTTGGCTATCCAATTCAGCTTCTTTTCTACTTGTAATTCTCATCCAACCTTTCAAATTCATCAAGAGATTTTGATTAGATAGACAATTATATTAACTGAAATGAATGCATCATATTCAACTAGTATTCCCAATATTGAATAAAAGGCAAGGTTGGAGTAAAATGCGAACAGAACAATTGCAAAGATTGATTCCATTGGATTCAAGAAAGGGCTAGATAATCAAATGGTCAACTTCCTTTAGTGACAAAAAGAAGTCTAGGTAGTAACACAAGATTTTGATGTAATTGGTTATAAGATATTTAGACCATAAATCATTGCTTCAAATCATCTTTTCTTTTGCATCTCTGCCCATCAATCCTTTAGTTCATTAGAGAGAATTTCATTCATTTTTTGAATGTTGACACTTTAAATCTTTCCCCTTTTCATGAACTAGCTCTTGTGCTCAGAAGAAGTTTCCCATTGCCAATGCTTGGAGCTTTAATGTCTGCTCTTTTCTTCTTTTCTTTTTTTTTTTTTTTTTTGATGTTAATGTATGCCCCTTGACATAGAAAGCTTTAAACCCTCAAATAAGGACTTTACATAGGCTTGTAACATGGCTTGGGGTTAGGATATGATGAAAGAACAATAAAAAGGATTGAAACCCAAATATTCCCCTCACATTTCTCTCTCCACTTTCCCGATCATTAATGTGGGTTAATAGAAAAAAAAATCATTCTGGCTTTTGTAAATTTGAATGATTACCTTTTTTTGGCTCAAAAAGGGTAAGCAACAAGGCAATGTTAAACTGTTTAGGATAAAGAAGCAGGGCCTTTCATCATTGGATCTCCAACTTTCTAATTCAAGGAAACATTTAATTTGTTAGCCTGCCATTTCACGATTTCAACCTAACTCTCTTTCTCTCTCTTTTTTTTATATATATATATATATATAGCAATAATACTTTTTGATAGCATTGGCATTAATTGGGTGATGATAATCAATCCCATCTGGATATCTCAACAAGAGTGCTCCTTCGAAAAGAGTTTCTTTAACAACATAGGGCCTTTCATAATTTGGTGTCAATTTGCCTTTGGGGTCCCTTTCATTTGGCATGATCTTTCTTAAGAGGAGATCTCCTTGATGAAACACTCTAGGTTTGACCTCCTTGTTGTAAGTAGTTGCCATTCATCGCTGATAGCATTGGCCATGACAAAGAGCTACGAATCTTTCTTATCAAACAAGTTGAGACTATTAACCCCCCCCCCTTTTTTGAGTATTGATTTTTATCTCCTTTCTATCATCTTTAGTCCCTTGATCATGGTTTCTAGCTCTTGAGTTGGTTGCAGCTTTGGTTTTTTTCTCTCTTAGCATTTGAGTTAGCTGATGAGGGGGATCGAGACTTTTCATTGTCTTCTTCATTATAGGTTTGATCATCCATCTCACATACAAAGTCCGATATGGCGTCATTGTTTAAAGATTCATCATTAGCAGGCTTGAAAATTTGGGATGGAAGTAAATAAATGGCCAAATGATAATAAAGCAAAGGTAAGAACATATTATTGAATAACCTCATAAAATATGTCATTAAAGAGTGACTTGTACAATGAAAGTTCAAGTAAAGTTGAATCATGATGAACTTTTTTTTTTTTTTACAAAGATAGGTAGGATTGCAACATGTTTCATTGAAAGAAAAGCATGAGAATGCTAGAAGCATGATAACATAAATTTCAGAAATTTAAAAGTGCTTGCTGAATCCCTCCCTTCATGTAGTCACAAGCAGAACTACTAGAGGCTGACTCTTTTTACTCAGAGATGAAAGCTACATGGAGAAGTTCTGTTGTCCAATTAGGCTTAGAGCTTCCATTGACTAGTGAAACTCCGCTATCAAATTCTAGTCCTTCCTTGTCTAGAGCATTCATAGTCAAATTTCCCATAGTGATTCTTCTTTCAGTAAGTCAAGAGGCATAGACTTGTGTGAACCCATTGGAGCTTCCGCAAGATGGAAGTTGGGGTGCTTCTCCATAGATGCCCTTTCAACGAGTATCTTCCTCCACCTTTCCTTAAGATTTGTCATGTTGGTCGGCCCAAATAGGTTGTTGAAGCAAAACTATCTTCCTCATGATCAGAATAGATCTCATCAGTGATATCTTCCACAACCACCTCCTCAAACTGTGCTATACATCTTTCTGACACTTGAGCAGACATAAACTTCAAAGATCTCATTACTTGCAACTCTTTACCCTTTCTCTGAAAATCTTCACAATCTTGCAAAGTATGACCCTTCATATTGGAGTGGTAAGGACACACCAAGGCATCATCAATTGTCGCAGGTGAAACATTCAAGCTCATTTGTGCAATCGGTTGAATCAAATCATACTTTGTCAAAATGACAAACAATTCATTAAGAGACCAAAAACTGGCATTCTCCAACACGAGCTTTTCAACTTCATCAAGGGTGACCATATTCATTGTGCCTACATCATGAGGGGGTAAAGGATTTCGAGTGATGTTCGAAGTGCTCTCAACTTCATTAACATCAAACTGAAGTTTACCCTCATCAATAAGATCTTGAATTTTTATTTTCAAAGTTGCACAGTATTCAGTATCATGACCCACCACATTGTGATATTTGCACCTAGTTTGTGGATCATACCAGTATGGATAAGGTGGTTGAATAGGATTCGCTTGCATTGTCTCCAATAAACCCACTACAACTAATTGTTTCAATGCCTCACCATAAGGGATTGGAAGCTTAGTGAACTGTCTTGACCTATTCATAAATGGGAATGCTTGCCTCAACAAAGTGTGGCCTCCTTTGAGAGTAAGTGGTGGGCTTATAAGCTGGGGTGTATTGCAATTGAGGTTGGCACTTATAAGGAATATTTACCACATTATAAACTGGTTTCGCATGACAAGTGGACATATGACTCAAAACTTCTTAATCTTCTTTATTTCCTCTGGGTGCAAACTTTTTTGAAGTAGATCCGGCATTGCCCATTTTGACTTGTTCTAACTATTTTTGGATGGCTTGAAAGTCCATGATTATGCTTAAGTCCATCTTCAATTTGTTCACCCGCTGTCACTAGTTGAGCAAAAGTATATCCCACACAAGGAGCTAACCATGCATGGAAAGTCCCAGTAGTTGACTTGATAAAGAGAGAGCAAATTTCACTGTCGGTGTCACGTCCCAGAACCCGAATACGAGGCGTGACAAACGCCATGCACTCGTGAGAAGGTCCCACAAATGCACAAGGCTCAGAACTTATCCAATTCACATTTGATACCACAAAATCTGAAGATAATATTTTAAAATTTTCTCTGATATCATAAAATCTCCAATAAAGTTTAGCTTACAAGATCTTGATCTACATCTAAAATTCATGTTCAATTTACAAGATGGCTAGCCTTCTAACTCGTCACTTCCCGTGGTTTCCCCGTCCTCAGTTTTGCTTTCTGAAATAGTGGATAAGGAAAAACTATGAGATAAACTTAGTAAGTAAAATATGGAGTGCCCTTTATTAAACTTATAGTATGCCAACAAGTATAATCACGACAAACAGATACGGGTACGGAAACGAAATAGACATCTCCTCTATAGGTCATGGCTAGTGTTATAAACCCCCCACTGATAAGCACACGATTTACTAGTGTATAATCCCATTAGCAGGATAATAGAAACGAACCGGTTCTATCAGTAACATGTTGACATGTGCTAGCATTTATAAACCTCCCACTAGCGGGCACACGAATAACATGACCATATCGGAGACAAAACAGGCAAAAGTTAACAGGAAAATCACAATTCACAATCACTTTCA